CGATTTTGAAAGATATCACGTCCTGGCGTCGGAAAATCGTGATATCTTTTAATCTAAACATTTCTCTGAAAATCTAATAGCACCGTTGAAATTCCCGTTAATTTTTCAATAAGAAGATGACGGTGGCAAAATGTTTGGGCTAATTTTTTGTGTTTTATTTCAGCCAGAACTACAAAAAGAGTGGAAAATTGTGTAAATCGGAAAGTGTATAAAGTAATCCAGAGTTTCTAATTTTAGTCTCAGAAGGCAGCAAATTTGAGGAAAACTACCTGATTTAATAACGCTTCCAACGCACTCGTCATTTTCTTATTTAGTGGTTGTGAGACCAAGATGTTGATGACAAAAAGAGAAAAAATGGTGGTTCAAGGATTGCTAATGTTTGAGAGTGACTTGCTACTCGTGCTACAAACTTCACCAGTAGATTCTTGACCCTAAAATGAACAAAAAAGTTCATATTGACCATGGTCCGATTCTCAACCATTTCAGAGTAATTTCGCTTTTTATCGATTTTGAAAGATATCACGTCCTGGCGTCGGAAAATCGTGATATCTTTTAATCTAAACATTTCTCTTAAAATCTATAAGCACCGTTGAAATCCCCGTTAATTTTTCAATAAGAAGATGAAGGTGGCAAAACGTTTGGGTCTTTCTTCCTTGACCTTCTAGCTGTTTGTAAACTTCTTAAGCATTACATACTAAATGGGCATTAAATTAAATTAAAAAATTTCAATGGAATTATGATTTTGATTCTCTCTAAAAATTAACGGGGATTTCAACGGTGCTTATAGATTTTAAGAGAAATGTTTAGATTAAAAGATATCACGATTTTCCGACGCCAGGACGTGATATCTTTCAAAATCGATAAAAAGCGAAATTACTCTGAAATGGTTGAGAATCGGACCATGGACAATATGAACTTTTTTGTTCATTTTAGGGTGAAGAATCTACTGGAGAAGTTTGTAGCATGAGTAGCAATTCACCCTGTATAATAATTGTATCAATTGTGGGAGATTTTATGTGTCAATTATTTACCTCTAATACTTTCAAACGAACAAAATATTATTTTAGGAAAATCAATGTAGGATCAGTCAATTAATGATTATTTGGAGATCGTGAGATGCGGTCTGGCGTGTTGTAGGTTTAGAAAAACATTTTCTTTATCGAGGCACGTTTCGATCTTTATTGCGAACATCTTCGGAGCCTAAGATTTATAAATCTCACGACCTCAAAATAATCAAAAATTTCAAATTTTTTCGTTTTAAAGGAAACATGCGACTTTCGAATACTTATTTTTATTACTGCAAGTGAGTTAACCGGATTTTTAGTTAAAGTAGTTATAATGACAAAAAGATTGCTCGTTATTAAGGAACAAATTCCGCGAATAAGAAATACGCAAACCAACTCGCGGACAAACTCTTGAAGTTGAAAGAACACCAATCAGTGACGATCATAAGAAAACTTTAAACGAAAATCTCCATCAAACTGTCAGTGAAGTTAAGGTAACCAGTCATTGGTTTATTACTTTTGTAATCTAGACATTATTAATACAAAAAAATTTTTTTTTATCTTCTGAACGCATTCCTTAATGCTAGTCCACGTTCCTTTTATATCTTTGAACGAATTAATTGATATAAATTATTTGTGTTAGTGCTGATAGTGGCTATTTAAAATAATGATAGATTAAAACCTCTGAGAATAATCCACTAAGCGAACATTTAAATTAAAATAATCTATTGAATTTATCAAAATATTTTAAAGATAAAAATCCGCTTAGAGCATGGTTTCTCAAAGGTTTTAATCTTTCATCAAAAATTAGATATTCAGATCTGTTTTTTTATACATATTGTGAGTTTTGTTTTGAATTTTTAAGGGAAAATTTCAGGTGACTGAGACGAATTTCTATGTATATTCTAAAAATAGAAGCTGACAATGTCAATTCTAAAATATTCATTTTATTCTGCTTTGTACATTTATTATGTGGATATGGAAAGTATCACAATGCATGAATAAAACTTTGTGAGGTTATTTTACATGTCAAACTGAAATAAAAATTCCTAACATCCAAAGTCTGATTCTCAATTCTATCTGAGATATTTCGTTTGTCATGTACCTTCCATAAAATATTTTCCATACATCATAAAACCAAAATGTTTGGGCTGGATACTGAAATAATAATAAGAATTTAAAATAACGTAAAGAAAAGAACGGTTTGGCATGGATTATATAAAAAAAGGAACCACTTACTGGAAGTCATCTCGCGATGTTGGGCCCCCGTTGCTGTGTAGTATAACGACCGCTTAGAAACTGAAAATTATAATCGGAATTGAAGGAAATTTTGAAAAATGGTACAGAAAAATTAAAACGGAAAGTAAGACGTGCTTATGGAAGAGGTTGTAAAATGGTAGAGGGAGGTGAGCTCAAGAAGAGGTTTTTTCTTTGCCAACAGATCATTACTGAGACAAATAAAAATTGGAACGTAATTATATCACTCGAAATATTTATGAATATCCCATGATTATCGTCATCACCTACGTAAAATTAACGTTCAGTGACTAAAATTTAATTTTTAGGTTAAAAACGGTTTAAAAACTGTCAATAAGATTTTTAAACATCAATTTAAAAAAATTGAAAGTAATAAAAATTAAATAAACAAGACTCTTTGATACAAAATTGCACACAAAATAGCAAATGGTTTCTTAAAATTAAATGTCCAAAATTTCTACATTCTTTAAGAAGTTTGACAGTTTGGACATTTAAGGGATTGAAAGAAGATTGAGAAAGAAAACGAAAAAAAAAGCGATTGAAAAATGGATATATATATATATATATATATATAGAGAGAGAGAGAGAGAGAGAGTGAGAGATAGTGAGTGAGTGAGTGAGTGAGTGAGTGAGTGAGAGAGAGAGAGAGAGAGAGAGAGAGAGAGAGAGAGAGAGAGAGAGAGAGACATTTGTATTTATTAAATTTACTTCAAGTATTAACATCAAAATAGTTTAATCCTTTTTAAAAAGATAGTTCCTACTCACAGTAAGTTGTTTTGGAACGATCCGGATTTCGAGCCTTTTTGCTCATCATCAGGTTGAAGGACTTCTACAACCACGTCTCTCGACATGAATTGCCAAAGTGAACCCGCTGATACCTCCGCCAAGGCGACGTTCCAATTGGCAGCTGATTTATTTAATGGCGCTCAATTTGAACGTGCGAAACGCAGAAATTATAACACAAATAAGTATTATACTAGTAAATACTTAATATTATTAAATTACTATAAAAATAATAACAATTAAAATAATTAGTTTAATTATTTGGAAGTTTGATATTATTTCCGTACATATTTAAAATGGGAGGAAGACCAAAATCTGTTAAATTATTAACGCATTTATCACCATGTTCAGTTTTACATTTTTTAATTTCAAATATCGCAAACCAATCTAATTCTTTCCCTTTGTTGAATCTATGTAACACTCTTGTATTTAGATTTGAATTGAAATTATGTTTTGTTTCTTTTAGATGGTCCTTAAATTCCGAAAATTTGCTCGATTTAGGCAAGTGTTCTTTTACTCTTGTTTTTATTTCTCTACCGCTTTGTCCTATGTATTTAATATCACAATCATTACAATTGAGTTCGTAAACCTCGCTTTTTGCCAAGTTGTCTACTTTGTCTTTAGGTTTTGAGAGGATGTTTTTAAGTGAACCCGTACTTCTAAAAGCTATCCTAAAACCTTCTGGTTTAAAAATTTTACTAACTTTTTCCGATAATTCACCAATGTATGGCAAACAACGGAAGCCTACTGATTCATTTGTGGTGGGGTGACTGAGTCCTATTGTTGATTCGTTTAAAGTTAGTTTTTTTATTCTTTTAATTAGCAACCTATCAATAAATATTTCTTGATACCCGTTGTTTTTTGCTAAGGTTGTAATAGTTTTTAATTCTTTTTTATAGTTATCAGGTGTTAGGGGAAGTTTTAACATCCGGTCTATGAGCCAAATGGAACCAGCAGCCTTTTGGAACTATGGGTGGGAGGAATCAGCTGTTATCATAGTGTCTGTAGTTGTGGGTTTTCTATATACGTCTATTTCTATTAGGTTGTTTATTATGGACAGTTTTAGGTCTAAATTTTTTTTTTAATTTATCATTTTTATCAAAATAGTTTTTCTTATAAATAATAATATCAAATTATATTACAAAATTGCCTTTCTTTTGAGGTAATTTGAGTGAGATGATGTGATTAGTGTATACATGTTGATTAAAAACGAGTTTAGAGGTGACCTAAAATAACAGACGATATGAAAAGAAAGAATAATTCATGACGTTTCATGAACTTTATATATAAATTGTTTAATTATCTTTGTTGGCACGTTTTACAATTATGAAATTGAAGCTGTTTTCGTATTAACTCACTTGTAATAGAACAATTATGTATATAATTTATTATTAAGAAGTAAATTAAATTAGTAATAGAATTATCATTAGAGAATGATAATTCTTTTTTGGACCCATTTTTTGTATGAAAAGACCGTTTAATAATAAAAAGGACCTCGTGTTTTTCTACGTAATGATAGGAAAACGTGCGACTCATCATGGAGACAAGAGGCTGAGAATTGTTAAAAAGCGTTTGGAAAGGTCCTGTTTATCTTAGGTAGGTGGCCTTTTGGAACCGGTCCAAATTTCCCAAGACATAACTCCTAGCTCGCGACCGTTCGAAACTGAGAATAAAGTATTATTTTTAATAAGTTTTTTACAAATATGTACTCATACAACGTTTCGTTAATATCAATGATAATAACGTTAAAAAAAATTAACGAGAAACTACGATATCTTTAACATGCCGGACAAAAACTAAGCTCAGATTGAATATTGCTTTTTAGCATTCAATCTTTTGTTTTGAGTTACGTAAAATTACAAAAATAATAACAAAAAACCAATAGAACGATGGACTAGATATTTTTACTAATTATGGTATGTAAATCAATGTCAATTGTTGACATTTTTATTATTATTTTTTGTCTTGTGCAAATTTGTATTGTTTCTGCCAGTGTAAATATACAAATTCTTGCGCATCGGATTTTTCTTCCGTGTGATATTAAAATTTGCATCTAAAATTGTGAAATATCTTTTTCATTATTTTTGAACATATTCATATAATTATCGGTATAGTTTTTAAAATTGGACCAGTGGTTTAAAATTAATTTAATTGATAAAATAATCTATAAAGTTTAAAATGCAGACAATTGTTTTACCAATTTAAATAACTTGATATTTTTCTCTTTTCCCTCCGTTTATCGATGGATGAATAACCTGTAATAAACAGAAAATCATTTCGCATTGAATGTTTTTGACAAGTTATTTTTGCGGTTTCTCTCTTCTTTGTGTGACTGTTAATTTACGTTCAGAAATAATATTCTATATTATTATTTGCAGGATTCCAATGTAATAAATATAAATTGACCATATTAACGAAATATTTAGCATTGGTTCTTTCTGTGACTAGACTATCTTACGAGACCATCTTCAATCTTTGAATGGAACGTTCTTTTTTCTAGAATGGTTATTATAAGTCCACTTTTGTATATAAATAAAGATGAACAGAATTTAGGGAAAAACTCGAAAACATAACTCGATACTTTAACTTTCAAACCGCCGACTTGGCTAAGATCATTTTCGACAAACATTTACCACTTTTTCACCTGTTTTTTTCTATTAGACATTTACTTCATTTACGGGAGATATTTGTTTTAACAAGACGGGACGAGCGGAAAATTAAGTAAACTTGGCAGAAGGGATCCGCTGCGAGGTGGTCGACGTCCTTCGTCCACCACAAGGAATCGATATTGAGTTTTAAATTACGAGCTTCCGTTTTCCCCCTTGCCATTTCTCTCATTTCCGCACGGTACCAAATGCATTTATCATCCTTTCAAATCTTGGTTCAAAACGATGTTTGCGCAGAGCGTGGGACATGGATCTACGGTAAAAGAAACAATCCTTCATTTTTCTTGAAGGCGGGTCAGACCAGGAGAGTCTTCCTTTGTTTATTTACTCCAAGATAAATACAGATGTCCCTAAATCATAGATACCATATCGTTCAAAAGCCCCGAGAAAGTGACAATGATTTTCACTGTTAATTTTCTTCTGAAGAGGATTTTTGTAACTAATAGTTATGAAAGTTTCTAGATCAACACAGGACTACGGTAAAGGATTCAACTATATTGATAACTTAAAAAATAATAAATTAGATTAATATATAATGTCATTAGAAACAACAATTCATTTTTCTATATTGGCTTAATATCAATTTTTAAATGACGGAATGGTTAAATACGCTGTTGACTGATGGAAAATTCATTGAAGGTTTACATTTATTTAAAAATATTCACTTGATTTACCAATATAATAATTCATAAACTTTATAATAAGGTTTAATGAAGATGATCTCAATAAAGATCGAAACGTTGGCTCGATAAGGAAAATGTTTTTGTGAAACCTACATCACACCAGACTGCATCTCACGATTTCTGAATAATAAGGTTTAATGTTGTTCCATTTTTATTTTTTATTATGTATTCAATATGAATTGGTCAAGCGGACCACGAAAACTAGTGAAGTGTATTCAATACATTAAATAAACAGAAGAAATAATAATTCAGCAATCGTGAGATGCGGTCTGGTGTGATGTAGGTTTCACAAAAAACATTTTCTTTATCGTAACCACGTTTCCATGTTTATTGAGATCTTCTTCAGGGCCTGGGATTTACGAACAATGTTTAAATTCAACAAAAACATGTAGGATGTGGAAAAAAGTGAATTTATACAATGCAAAAAATATTTTTTCTATTCAAAGTATTTCTACTCACTCAAAGTGTTTGTTTTCTGTGTAATTGTGCCGTTCTTGCGTGTCGTGTTGAGAGTGCCGGTGAGATATTGTTTATGTTTACATACGTTGGGTTTAGAAGGGGTGTGGAAGGAAGTTTTTCTGAAACCTACATCACACCAGACTGCATCTCACGATTTCTGAATAATCATCAACTAACGGTCACTAATCACCACACAGTAGAAATAATAAGAAGATAGGATTCCTGAAACACTATTGCAATCTTATCCCGACGGTCTTTTTCTGGTTATCAAATTCCTCTTTTTATAATTAATTTGACCTTCATAAATTGAATTTAAGCCCATAATATACCAAATGTTATTTCCCATTTTAGTATGTAGAACCTCTTTTCTTCTTCTTCTTCTGCGTAATTGAGACTCTTTGTCAATTATTTCAACATTGGAAAAGTCAAATTTATGCAAGATGTTGAATGTTTTGATAGTTAAATACTAGTTCTGGATTTACTGCCACAATCAGAAACATGACAATAAATTCTATTTTTTATTTTCTGTTTTGTTCGAAAAATATATTTGGTTGGACATTCAATACATGAAAAACTATATGCAACGTTCGATAAATTCAACTTTTCTTCGTTATCCTTGGGTTTAGTATGTAGAGAGCTCATTTTATTTTTGGATTTGTAAGAACAATTGATGTCGGTATGTATTTCTTTAGAATATACGAAAATACGTTAATACTCTTGAACGTGAAAGGATTGTTCATATTTCTATCGGTTTTCCATCATTTGTTTACTTCCTTGAATTAATATCTAAGAATCTGTTATACCAATGTCTTTGATTAGTTGTTATTTCTTAACGTTCGGAAAGCTCTTTAACTTGATCCCACAAGCATGTGATCCTTAGTGAAAAAACTCTATGTCAAATTATTAGCACAATTCAGTTTTTGACAAACGACTGAGGAGAGAAATAATTAAAATATCTGTCAGAGATTATTTCTTTTTATTCCACCTTCGCATCAATGCCCCCTGGACTTCTGATCACTTCCACGTCTAGATAGCGAAAAAGGCACTATTTTCAACTTCATATGTGAATTGTATATTCTAATGATAACTATTAAAAAGGTTAAGGAGATTGTCTAAATTATACATTGGAAAAATCATAAACAATTCATCAAATGAGCTTAATATTATAAGTGATCTGATGTAAAACCCAATCAGCCAAATCATTCATTACATATGCAAAAATGGGGGGGAGGGAAAACATTCCCATCGCCACACCATCAACTTGCATATATATTTTGTTACCATATATAAAATAGCCATTCATACCTGAGAAAATCACTGGATCAATGAACAAGTCAAGCGACACATTGATAAATTCTCACACGTTTTTCCAGCGTTGTATGTGAGATATATTATTATATTCCAGGGAATTGAAGTAAACTTAAAGTTCTTTTATCTGTGATATTTTTTTATGAATGATAAATTTACCATTTGGCCGTGTTTCACTGGAGACCATAATGAATCAAGCATAATGTGAACAAGATATTGGTCAAAACGTTTTGTACCTCGTTAGCTATATATTTCATTATTTAAATATAAATTTATGGCATTTACGCTGTAAGAAAGTTGAACGGTTCTATTTATTTAATCTAGCAATAAACAATGTCGAGGTTAAGTTTAGTTTCAATCATTGGAAATGGAACCAGACTGATTTGTCTATTTTCAATTATGAAAATCTTAATTTATAATAAAGTTTTAAAAGTTCTTGTGTACTAGCAGATTTGAGAATGTGAAAACCGCTGGGCTCGAAGAAATAGAAATAACTGTGGCAGGTTAAGAAAGATGTCGGTCCCTGGACCACGGAGAACGGTTCAAAAAGGGAAAAGGCCATACTGACAAGACTACGCATAGGTCATACAGACAAGACTACGCATAGGTCATACATGAATAACTCACGGCCACCTTCTGACCGGAAAGCGACCACGTAGGTGCCTGTTATGTAAGGATAGAATAACGGTCGAGCACCTCTTCAAGTGTAGAAGGCTTGATGTATATAGACAATATTTTGGCATATCATCGATCCTGTGCGTAGTCTTGAGGCACGGCAGCGGGCACAGATCGCTGTTCCGGTACGTCTGGGCTACAGGGATTTTTAAATGTATATTGTTTTATGTGTATGTGTTGTGTCTGTGTTTGACTTTATGTTAATTTATAGGAATGAATGTAATTTATTAGCATAAAAGGAAGGGGTGATTAAACCCGGGGTGATATACCCCCGAGGAATATCGAGTACTCGGGGGTGAGTGTGTGACGTATGGAGAGTAAAAGTAAGTATTAGCGAGACCCCACCCCGAGGAATATCGATTACTCTGGGGGAGGGAATGGGACCAAACCTCTATGTTTCTATCGAGTGTTGTGTTTGTGTTAATTTATTGTAATGAATGTAATTTATTAGCGTGAAAGGAAGGGGTTGCTTATAACCACACCCCGAGGAATATCGATTACTCTGGGGGAGGGAATGAGACCAGACCTCTATGTTTTTATCGAGTGTTGTGTTTGTGTTAATTTATTGTAATGAATGTAATTTAGTAGCGTGAAAGGAAGGGGTTGCTTATAACCCCTCCCCGAGGAATATCAAGTACTCTGGGGCGAGTGTATGACGTCTGGAGTGTATAAGTAATTTATTAGCGTGAAAGGAAGGGGTTGCTTATAACCCCGCCCGGAGGAATATCGAGTTCTCTGGGGGATTGAATGTGACCAGACTTCTATGTTTGTGGCGATATATATGTTATGTATTGTATGTTGTGTATCTATTCTTAAATTGACAACCTGAGGTACTAACAAGAGGCTAACGTTTTAAAATAACGACGTAATATACAAATAAAAGCAGAGAGTCAGTATCCAGATCGAGACGCTCAAATGGCTGTAGTTTAAAATAAAATATGTGCGAAAGAAAAGAAAAAGAAGGAAAACACGCAGAGGGCCGGCGATGACCTCAGCTGTTTGTCGGCCCATAAACTTCCCACTCATATATATACTTGCAGATTTTAAATGACTGGATGTATTGTTGTTAATAGTGTTATAATCCACTAAAATTCACTAAATGATTTGTCTAGCAAATTAATATCCCTAGTTGTAAATATGTACTTATGACGTACAAATTAAAACGAGCTTCTTACTAGACCGTCGCGTAGGCGGTGGATCGGCGATCTTATAATTCATGTCGATAGAAGTTTTGCAACTCCTTCAATCTGAAAAAAGCGTTTAACGCTATTTGGATAGTGGTAAGTAACAACACCTGTGAATAGGAACCATCCTTCACAAAAGTTAATCATTTCTTCCTTTTTGCTGGAAATATTTTAATTAATGTTTGTTTCAAGCAGCGTGGACAAATAGCGTTCAGATCAACAGGTTTGTACATAATGTAATAAAGCAGAAAGTTCTCAAGTAATAAGGGAAGTGTCAGGT